ATGCCACAGGACCCTCTGTTGCTTTTTCCTTATATTAGTGACTGATATTTATTAAAATCAGTATTGCCAACTCTCCTGATACTTGGTACTGTATTTTACTTGAAAACAGCTCAGAAACCAGAAGGCAAATACACAGAATCCAACTTCCTTTTATCTCTTGACTTTTGATGGGGCCTGACTTATAATTTTTGAATGCTTGGGCATTGCAGTGCTGCACTTTAAAAAGAAAACAAAACAACTACCTTGCTGTCATGCCCTTTACTCTCTGTGTTCTTCTCTGCTTTGAAAATGAAAGGATAGTTGGCTTTACTTTTGGTTCTAGTCAGTTTCACTTTCTCAGGCGCAGACAATGCAAAATGCAGCAAAGTGTGTTTTCAGACACTACAAGGGAATACACAGTGTGGGGGGGGCTGTGGGGGGGGGGAGAAGGAGGGTTGTTTTTAAAAGCTTTCTCCATTGGATCTTTTGTGGAAATGTTTCTTTCAGTTTCCATTTTTTCAAAATTCAGCTGCAGAGCAGCTCCAAGATGACATGGTGGTTAAACCTGCCTGAGCCCCTTCTAGGCTAGCCGAGCCTTTGTTACTGTCCTTGGAGCTCGGGTACTAGTGCAAGTTGTGCAACAACAGGAGACCTTAGTGTGATGTCCTGCTCTGTGCCTCTGTTCCCCTCACACACCCTTGTCTGTCTTGTCTACTTTAACTCTTCAGGGCAGGGTCCTTCTCTTGTTGTGTGTGCCCAGTGTCCAGCGGAAGGGAGCCCCAATCTTCGTTGGAGCCTCTCGGTGGTACAGCCACACAAATACTAAAAAAAACCTGAGTTGGGTCAGTGAACAAAAAAAGTGTTTCATTGGCGCTACCCAGCTAACCCAAAACACAGCCATAGTTGGCCCGGGCTCAAGGTATTAGGAACTCGCTGTGCTCTACTGTCCCCAAAGCCCGGCATTCTCTCAGCAGAGGGGGTGAAATCCAAAACACTGTTCTTTCTAGGAGTCAGAATTTCAGAAGTCCCAAATGTTCTGATTTGTATCTCTCTGGTCGTTATGTTTGGTTTTTCCAGGTTTGCTGCCAAGCTGATCGAGGGCATCCTGGATTTCAAGACCATGATTGACAAGTGAGTTAGATGCAGTGTTGTTGTAGCTGTGGTGGTTGCCATATATTAGAAAGACAATGTGGGTGAGGTCAGATCTTTTATTGGACCAACTTCTGTTGGTGAGAGAGACAAGCTTCCGAGCTTACACAGAGCTCCTCTTCTGTTAGAGGCATTTAGTTAGGGATGCCCAGGTCAAAAGTTTCTCTCTCTCTCTCTCAAAGGGAAACTGTCAAGATAAAAATCCATATATCTAAAGAATAGCGCCTCTAATAAGCGTAGCTGACAACAGCCAGGGTCACTGGCACTGACAGGACTGTAGAAAAGCAAACTGACTTTCCCTTTTTATGCTCTTTATTTACTTCTGCCTCTTACTCCACCTGGCTAGGGAAATAAGCCTGGTCTGTTCTGCTTCTTGGGTCTCATGTAATGATGTTTAGAGTTCAAAGCTGCAGTGCCACAAAAACTTTTCCCTTCACGTTGTGTTTTCTGAGAGGCTCTTATGTGTGTACTTGCAGGGAATTTAGCCTGACTGAAGCCCTGCAGACTCACAGCCTTAATTTATCCACAGAACTGGTCCAGCTCAGGCAGTAAGAACACACAAGCTTCCAATGTGTTTCAACTCCCCACCTGCAGGGGCATTCTCTATGGTTCTCAACCTTTTTACCATTGTGGGCTACATATGCTGCTGTCTATCTACGTGTTGTGTGGGCTGCAACCACACAGGGGCGGCTCCAGGCACCAGCAAAGAAAGCAGGTGCTTGGGGCGGCACGTCTGGGTCTTTGGCGGCAATTCGGCGGTGGGTCCCTCACTCCCTCCCTTCTTGCCGCCGAAGAATGAAGCGGTGCGGCTGAGCTGCTGCTGAAGTGCCGCTGATCGCGGCTTTGGCCTGGTCCACACTAACCCCTCACTTCGGACTAAGGTACGCAAATTCAGCTACGTTAATAACGTAGCTGAATTCGAAGTACCTTAGTCCGAACTTACCGCGGGTCCAGACGTGGCAGGCAGGCTCCCCCGCCGATGCCGCGTACTCCTCTTGCCGAGCTGGAGTACCGGCGTTGATGGCGAGCACTTCCGGGATCGATTTATCGCGTCTAGACCAGACGCGATAAATCGATCCCAGAACATCGATTGCCTGCCGCCGGACCCGGAGGTAAGTGTAGACATACCCTTTATCTCTCTCCTCTCCCGTCCGCCCCCACCTCACCGCTTAGTGCGGCAAAAAGGCTGGAGCCGTCCCTGCATCCACACAAAATATATTCTAACACTGCATGGCCCTGCGGATGTCATATGGGCTGCAGCTGTGTGCTGATTGGGCCGCAAGCGGCCCGCAGGTTGAGAACCACTGGGTGAGAGTGGAGTCCAGTCCCCCACGTCCCAGTCCTTGGTCTCTAAGATGCGGCTGCCAACAAAGGCCTTGTCTGAACTAGGCTTGCAGGTGTGATATTAGCAGGTTAGTTAACACATTGGAGAAGCCTAGTGCAGACCAAGCACACCGCTTTTAACACATGCTAAACTGGTCACTTTAAAGCCCAGGGGGAGCCCTGACTTTAACCCAACCAGGTTAGCATGTGTTAAAAGCAGTGTGCCTGCAAGCCTGAGTCAGCTGACATGGAACAGCCCTGGCTGTCCTGCCGGTCTTTTAGCCCTGGATAGACGTACCCAAGGGGAATCATCGAGTGGATGTATTTCTAGTGGGTCCCACAGGGATTTGTTCTCGGCCCTGTGCTATTTAGGTATTTTTATCATTGACCTGAAAGGAAAAAAATATAAAATCATCACTGATAACATTTGTAGATGACACAAAAATTGGGGGAGTGGTGAATAATAAAGAGGACAGATCACTGATTCAGAGCAATCTGGATCACTTGGTAAACAGGGTGCAAGCAAACAGTATGTGTTTGAATACAGCTAAATGTGAATGTGTACAGGAACAAAGAATGTAGGCCATACTTACAGGAGATGGGGCTCTATCCTGGGAAACCCTGATTCTGAAAAAGATTTTGGGGTTGTGGTGGATAATCAGCTAAACATGAGCTCTCATTGTAACATTGTGGCCAAAGGGGCTAATGTGATCCTTGGATGCATACACGGGCATCTTGGGTAGGAGCAGAGAGATTATTTTATCTCTGTATTTGGCACTGGTTCAACCGCTGCTGGAATCCTGTGTCCAGTGGGAAAGGGTTCAGAGAAGAGCCATAAGATTAAAGAGTTAGAAAATCTACCTTATAGTGATAGACTCAAGGAGCTCAATCTATTTAGCTTAACAAAGAGAAGGTTAAGGGATGACTTGATTACCGTGGATAAGTACCTGACTGGAGAACAAATATTTAATAATGGGCTCTTCAGTCTAACAGAGAAAGGTATAACATGATTCAAGGGCTGGAAGCTAGACAAATTCAGTCTAGAAATAAGGTGTCAGTTTCTAATGGTGAGAGTAACTGACCATTGGAGCAATTTACCAAGAGTTGTGGTGGATTCTCCATCTCTGACCATTTTTAAATGAATATTCAATGTTTTTCTAAAAGATCTGCTCTAGAATTATTTCAGGGACATTCTCTGGCTTGTGTTATACAGCAGGACAGACTAGATGATCACAATGGTCCCTTCTGGCCTTGGGAGTCTATGAACTGAGACCCACCACACAAAGAATCAGATGGCGACAACTAATGGTCACTCCAGATAGAGGCCTGGATTTGAACCTGTGTCCTGTAACCCGCTGCTAATCCCCTTGAAACAATAGGTCTAAATTCCATGCATCTTTCAGTATAACAGGCCTCAACTCCTGTTGGCCTGATGTTGCAAAGTACAATGGGCTGCAGGGTAGGTCCATGGGTCTGTTTCTTCCCATGCTAGCAGATGTGGCGAAAAGGACCTTGCCCCTACATAAAACAAAAGCCAGCTAAGGTACGTGCTAGGTAGCCTCTGCTCGGAGAGTTGGTGGGGATGATCAGCCCCCAGTGGAGGAGACTTCTAATATCCACATCTTTTAGGGCTTGTACACACTAGCATTTATTTCAGTATAACTTAAAAGCCATCCCCTTGAGCGATGTAAGTTACACCAACCTAAGCGCCAGTGTGGACAGTGCTATGTCCATGGGACAAGCTCTCCTGCTGGCAGAGCTACCGCCACCCGGGAGGCGGAGTAATTATGCCAATGGGAGAGCTCTTTCCCATGGGCATGGAGCGTCTGCACTAGCAGCGCTAGTGGTGCAGCGCCATCAGTACAGCTGCACCCCTGTAGTGATTCTAGTGTAGACTGGCCCTTAGTGTCTCACTGGAGCAGCCGTGATAGGGCGGTGGATATGGGAAGAGCATGCCAGGTGTGGATTGCTGGAAGGCAGGCATTCTGATGGCTGTTTTCTTCCCTCTCCCGCCCTGCTCCCTCTCTTCTGTGCACGTTTCCAGTGAGACCCTGCCAGTGGAATACCTGGGTGGGAAACCTCTTTGCATGAACCAGTACTACCAGATCCTCTCGTCCTGTCGCATCCCAGGCCAGAAGCATGACTCCGTTGTGAACTACGCCAAAGGAAAAAAGCCGCCCTCGCACATCACTGTGGTTCACAACTTCCAGGTACAGCAGTGCCTCGGCTTAGTGGAAGTCTTAGGAAGGCCGGGTTATTCTTTTGGATTTGCCAAGGAAGAGAAATAAGCAAAAAGGCTCTGAGTACAAGGTTCACCTCCCCAGGGAACCAGTCCCACTCCCCCTGAAGTCACTTGCAGGTTTGCCATTAACTGGGAGCAGGATTGAGCCTCATGGCGAGGACTGCAGTGTAGGTGAGCTGTGAGTGCTCCATTCCCACATCTCTCTCCCTCCTAGTTCCAGTCCCTGAAAGTTCAGTCTCCTGCTCTGGGTTTGGAGCTAGAAATTGCTGGTTTGGGGGGTGGGGGGGATAATGGACCCAACTATCATGGCTAGGGCCCTACCAAATTCATGGTCCATGTTGGTCAATTTCATGGTCATCGGATTTTAAAAATAGTAAATTTAATGAGTTCAGGTATTTAAATCTGAAATTTCACGGTGTTGTAATTTTAGGGGTCTTGACCCAAAAAGGATTGTGTGGGGCGGGAGGTCGCAAGGTTATTGTAGAGGGGGGGGTTGCGGTACTGCTACCCTTACTTCTGTGCTGCTGCCTTCAGAGCTGGGTGCCCAGCCAACAGCCGCCGCTCTCTGGCTGCCCAGCTCTGAAGGCAGCGCAGAAGTAAGGGTGGCTTCTACCACAACCCCCCTAAAATAACCTTGTGACCCCCTGCAACTCCCTTTTGATTCAGCACCCCCAATTTGAGAATGCTGGTCTCCTCTGTGAAATCTGGTCTGTTGCTTTTGCCCTGTACTGACCAGATTTCATGGGGGGAGACAAGATTTCATGATCCGTGACACATTTTTCTTGGCTGTGAATTTGGTAGGGCCCTAGTCATGGTCAAGTCTCAGAAATTGTAGAACCTGGAAGGTGTTACGAGAAGAGTGTTTTCCTCTGTCTGTCTTAATTATCTGGCCCTCATTACTGCAGTATCCAAGAACCTGATCATCTTTAACATATTTGTCCTCACAACATCTCTGAGAGCTAGGGAAGTGCTATTACCCCATTTTATGGATGGGAAACTGAGGCACCAATAGGTTGTCAATTGCCCCAGGTCTCTCAGGAAGCTGGTGGCATAACAGGGAATTGAACCTGGGTCTCCCAGCTCCCAGGCTATGGCCTAATTACTGGGCCATCCTTCCTCTCCACCTACCAATCATCAGCCCCTTATCTGAGCCCTCAGCATTGCTCTTGCCTCCTGGATGAGGCTGTTGTCAGTCTGTGTGACTGGCTGCTATAAATCCTTCGTCTCTCCCTCGTTCCCAGTTCTTTGAGCTGGATGTTTACAGCAGCGATGGGAGCCCCCTCACCACCGATCAGATCTTCATCCAGCTGGAGAAGATCTGGAACACCTCCCTCCAAACAAACAAGGAGCCAATTGGGATCCTCACCACCAACCACCGAAACAGCTGGGCCAAGGCCTACAACCACCTCATCAAAGGTCTGTCCTGCCCCGCCCATGTGGCTCACCATGCTGGAAACTGCTGCCCTCCATGCAGTGCTGTGCGCCCTGGGCTTCTCCCTCCTTTACGAGCCCTCTGCAAGCAGACACTGACCAGATAACTGGGCTAACAGTCTGAGTGTGGGAGTATTTATCCAGCTGGGTTGTGTCCAGATTAAACCCATTGCAAAGCATTGTTCTTTCTGTTTAAACACCCTGTCCTCTAAGTATTCAAGGTTTGCTCCAGGACAGAGCTGAAATTTTGGACTATTTCACCCCCAAAATGGATGAAATCCAATAACCCAGCTAAAAAAAAAACAGTGGGCTGTTACAAGTTAGAAGGAGCATCCCTATGAGGCTCACAGCTTCCAATCTGTAACAGCCATGCAGCCCATAGCTTCAACACTCGAATCCCACTGCAGCATGATCAAGAGATGCTTCCTGACAAAGGGAGTCAGGGCACCGAGTACCATCAACCTGCTCTCCTGACTTTTATCCTCCCTCCAATTAAATGATGTTTTTCAACCCACTTCCATCATCTTCCACTCCCCCCCCCCTTCTCAGACAAAACCAACAAGGAGTCAGTGCGTTCAATCGAGAAGAGCATTTTCACCGTCTGCCTGGATTCACCCATTCCTCGGGTGTCTGACGACATCTACAAGAGCCGGGTGGCAGCTCAGATGCTGCACGGTGGAGGCAGTCGCTGGAACAGTGGGAACCGATGGTTTGACAAAACCCTTCAGGTGGGTGCTGGTGTTCTCGAGAAACTAGAGGCACGGGTCTGGGGGAGACAAACTTCCTGAAACTGGAACGTCCCCTGAATCATTCAGTAGGAGACTTTCCCAGATCAAAAGGGGCATGGGAAGTGAGAAGAGCAAGGGGTTGATGCCAACAGCATATGGTGGAGAATGTTGGGGATTCTCTCCCGCAATCAAACAAGTTCTCACTCTCCTGCTAGGTCCACCGAGCTCTCATTGTTTCCTAGGTTTGTGGCAGCACTCGCTCAATGCAGCCAAGCTATTCTTTGTATTACTCCTGAATTAACTGTCTGCTTGCAGTGTACAATGACTTGTCTGTTTGGAGGCTGACCAAGACTAACAAGGTCTGTTTCTTGTATTTCCCATGGGATTGTTGCTCTCCGTGTTTGTTTGCCAGAAGCTAACCTGCTTCTTTCAGGCATCTGCCACCATCCCACAACATCTCTTCAATCCCCATCTCCCTTCAGCTGTATAATGGTACCATTCAAGGACCGCATCCTCCATTAGGAGGCTATCTCCGGGCCTTTCAGGGGGATGTAGCCTATGCTCTGACAGGACTCTTCTTATAATCCTGACATTTTGGGTTATTCAGCTTCTGCTTGGCATTACTTGTTTACAGGGCAATGCCAAGTTCTTCTAGCTTTGCGATTAACCAAAGTTTGCACGAAACTGGTGGGGGGGTGTTACATGGGACTCCAAGGAAATCAAACCCTTTGAAGCTGTACCATACTGCAGGGTACACTGGCCTCTCTGATGCATATTCTGTCAGTGGGACCATCTTCCATCTGCCTTATTGAATATAATGATGATACCAAATCCTCCTAGCCTTGGTTGTGGAGTTTCTTCCTTCTGGGAGCTGGGTGATGACTTTGCGGGTTACCATGCGCTGATGGGGCTGAGGTCTTCTCCAGCACATAGTAATGAGATGTTGAGACCCCTCTTGGGCTGGTGCTGGCACTGTAGAGGAGGCCTCTCTTCACTGCCTTTTTGGTTTCCCTGGCAGTTTATCGTTGCTGAGGACGGCTCCTGTGGCCTGGTGTATGAGCACGCTCCCTCGGAGGGCCCGCCCATCGTTGCCCTTCTGGATCACATCGTGGAGTACACGTGAGGCTTGCTCACTTGTCTCTGAGTCAGACGTGGCTCTGACCGTCCATCCACAGTAAAGCTCCCCTTCACCAGCTCATTTCCCCCCTCCCGCCCCAGGCATCTGTTTTGGAGGCGCTTTAATAGTGTCTCAAGTTAGGTACTGCAGCTCTTGTAGCAATGACCAGGGATTAGCCACCTGCTGAGAATGGTAAACTTTGCTGCGGCTTGAACTCTCCGGAGAAGCCACGGCTTACGTTTAATATGGCTGTCGGGTGGCAGAACGTTTGCTCCTGATGGAATCCATAGGACATTTTTTTAAAGGGTTTGAAGGGCATTAGACCTGTAATCTCTTGGTGAAGGAATCACTATGAACCAAACTTCTGCGTTTGTTCTCCTAGTTTTTCACTAGACGCAGACGTGGAGAGAGCAGCTGTCAAGTCCGTAAGGCTGAAGTTTGGGACAGAGGGCTTTGCAGTGTATGACAGACTCAAAATGTCATAGTCAGGGATTTACACCATGTTCACTACAGCGGGATCTGAGTCTGTCTACTGGGCACCAGAATCCTATAGGCCAAAGGGCTGGAGAGAGAGGTCTGGCTAAATGGTTTCAGTGCTGTTTCTCTGTGCAGGAAGAAACCACAGCTGGTGAGATCACCCATGATTCCTCTGCCAATGCCCAAGAAGCTGCGGTTTAACATCACCCCAGAAATCAAGAATGACATAGAGAAGGCGAAGCAGAACCTTAACATGTGAGTAAAAGCGGGTGGGAGAGCTCAGTGAGTGAGCAAGAGAATAATCTATGTGCCCAGTTGGAGAGCTGGGTGGCAAAGAAAATGGCAGTGCACTATTCGGGAAGCCTGCCCAGTGTCTTGTCGGGCATAAACTATACTGTATGAGGCTGAAAAGGGCATTGCTGAGCCTCCTCCTGACAGGTGACTGCTGTACTGAAAGGGGACTTAACTCCTTATTCATCCCAATCTATTTATGGAGAGGGATGTCTCTGATCAGGAACCTGACCTGCTGTACTGGATCAAGCCACTGGGTCAAGTATTGTGGGATCCTATCTCCAGCAGTGGGAAAATCCCTTGCAGCTAACCAGCTGCACAGTGCTTCACGTGGTGCATCAAGTTACTGAGGTTGAGCTCATTGTGAAAAGATCGGGTGGGGCAGATCCCTTTGTCCTCATGCAGATTTGGTCCGAGCAGATTGATGTCTCTGGGATGCACGAAAGCTCTTAGCGAGGAACATCCTGAAGAATTTCTCTTCTCCTTCTCTCTCTGCAGAATGGTGCAAGATCTGGACATCAAGGTGATGGTCTTTCACCACTTTGGGAAAAACTTCCCCAAGTTGGAGAAGATAAGTCCAGATGCGTTTATTCAGATGGCCCTGCAGCTGGCTTATTATAGGTAAGGAGCAGACTGCGGGCAGTTAGCTTTCCAGGCCCCATATCTCCCTTCTAAAGAGCCTCAGGGAATTCTTCCCCTGCTCTACAAAACTGCTGACTAGAGGTCAACACCAAATGCAACTAGCTGGGCTTGGAAAAAGAACCGCAAACACCACTGGGCTACAGGGTGGTGAGCTATTGCAATAGCCCACTCTTTCGCTATGCCTCCATGTGGGAGGGTTAGAGGTCAATGGCTGATGGATCTACAGCTATGTGCAGACATCTGAAATCCTGCCTTTTTCCCCATGCAATGGAACAGCACTGGTTCTGCTCTGTGTAGGGCCCTTCGTGGTCACACGATTGTGGGCAAGAGTAGCCCCTCCAAGAGCAATGCATGAAATACCAGTAGAGGAGGGTCAGTCAGCTAGGGATGCAGCTTGGTCCACGTAATTACCATTTCTTCTGATCTTTCTCATCCTTCCTGCATGGAATTTACTCTTCCCTGGGAGGTGGGGAGGATGCAAGGGAGAAATACAACAGCTGTATCTGCATACTTCAGACCAGAAATTCACCTGCACGATTTCCCTGCAAAGGATAAGATTTGCATAGCCCCTTTTTGTCAAGGACAATTCTTCCTCTGTGGCTGCTTCTCCTCCCCATCTTTCAGGATGTATGGCCAGGTCTGTGCTACATATGAGAGTGCCTCACTGAGGATGTTCCGCCTGGGTCGGACAGACACCATCCGCTCTGCCTCCGTGGACTCTCTGAAGTTTGTGCAGGCAATGGACAACCCTAGCAAGCAGGTGAGAGTTCCAACAGATGAAGTGAATTAACATCACCCCAAAGAAAAGGGAGAAGTACTTTTCAACTCACCCCAGAAGGGTGGCATCTGTATCCTCTGGTCTCAGCCAAAAACTGCATCTGATCTGAGGTTGTTTTAAGGTACAATCTGGAGTACATGATTACAAATCTTGGGTCTCATTCAGCTTTCTTTTTACAGCTCTGTAAATCCAAGGTGAGTGTTTCTAACCCTATATCACGTGACTAGTCTGAATGTCTAACCAGTCAGGCCCTAAGTACTAGATTATTGGACCTGAAGGTTCTCCATGTATCATTCAGAAGGTCATTTCCTCATTTTGGTTTTGACCTATGAACTTTGGATAATATACAGGAAAACAAGTGTACTGTTTTGGGGAGTAGATTTGCTAGAATATGTTTAAATTAATAGGGATGAACACAGTTAGTAGAATGCATTAACTTCTAAAATTTTAAATTAACTGTAGCAGTTTTTCTGGATGGAGAGTTGTACAAATAAGGAAACAAGCTCCCAACTACACAGTATAGTGTTTGGGGTGTCTCAAACTTGGAGAGATAGAGACACGATTGGTTCCAAGCATGTCCAGATTCAGAGAGAGGACTTGTGATTCTAAGTATTCAGGACTCATTTCAGTCCTTCCATGAAAAAGATAGGGACTCTGGTTCTTTTAGAAGACAAAGAATCGAGACTAGAACCTAGCAAGTGATGAAAGTCAGTTCACTGGGGATGGAGTTCTGAGTCAGAGTTCAGCTGTTTGCTGTAGGCTGTAGAACCTCTGTAGTGATCCCCTTGCAAAGACTTGCCTCCTTTGGTTGAAGAATTATCCTTCTGTCATCTAAATTGTCCCACCGATATCTCCGCTTCCAACAGTTCTAGGATAAAGGGCCACTACTGGTAGTTCCTATGGAATCACTTAAGGATAGAGTCTCGTGAGCTGGAAGGGAAGAGAAATAATTCAGCCAGACAATATGATCTAAGTTAACAATAGCTTGAAGCAAACACCTACTGGGGCAGAAGTGCCATCCTGCAGGCGAGCTACTGCAATCACTGGGCAGCACACTTTTAACGTCCATTCCATGTCTTCTCCTTAGAACCAGGAGAAGGTGGAACTGCTGAGGAGAGCTACGCAGGCACACAGAGCTTACACAGATATGGTGAGTGTCCCATACAGCTCCAAGGCTGGGACTGTGCAGAGGTAAGCCAGGTGCTGCTGGAAGAAAAATTCCAACTTATGGTGCTAGGCATATAAGCCAGCCTGTTAATGCCAGTTAATGCTTTGGAGCCCTGATTGTACTCTTCCTCTTTGCACTGTTCCTTCAGTATCCCTGGTGACTGGGGGCAAAGGAGAAAGCTGCAGACTTGATTTTCTATGCTCTGAAGAATTCCTATTCTTCCCATCACCAGGGTCTGTAGATGCCAGGGTTACATGGGGGGGGGGTTAAAATCACAGGGTCCCATCCTGAGATGTTACAGGTTTGCTTAGTTCCATCTGTTTGTCAAATGTTGCTCTTAACGGACAGTTCGGTTTTTTTTCTTTCTACTTTAAATTTAAGAGGATTTTTAAGATCTGGTTTCAGACTGAAGATAGTGCTGATTTTTGTTT